AGCCGATCCCGCCGCTTGACTAGTAGCTGATCGTTGACCTCTTATAACAACCCCACCATAACCCCTTCAACTCTTTTTTCTTACCCTTCCTTCTTCACGACCTCATTCGTCCGTACCTTTTTCGATATTTATTCAAGGCGCGCAAACTAGATCCCTTGTCTCGGGACCGCCAAAATATTTATCTTCATTTCATTTCAACACGCTGATTTTCCATTTCCCATATCTTCGTCACGGCAAGCTCTCGCATCTTTACATATCCCTGACCTATTGTCCTCGAATATCTATCCGTATCATCACTCCGTACCCCGTCTCCCATACTTTCCGTCAACCTTTACTCCAATGCCTCCTCAATTACTACCTGCTTCGGCAGCTGCCTTTGCCCCAAGAGCTTCATCCGTCAATGTTGTGTTGAGTTCAAAGGTTGAGCCATGGTTAACACAAACCTTGAAGCGTATAAATCGCATAAAGCGTCCTCTAAACAGTGTACCCCAGCACCAAAGATGCTTAACGGAAACGCTATCTTCGTCAACAGCTATATGGACTCTTGGATCTTTGATGTTATCGAAAGCCCCGGAACAAAGACGCGAAGACTCAAACCCATTAGTTGAGGCCATGTTCAACTATCAACTCATTCACATCGAAGCTTATGTTGTTCATGTGGATATGGTATTAAGAAATGAGGTTGCCTACAAACTTACTCCAGATACGATAGAATCACTTATCGAGTTTCACAAGGATGTTCATTGCCTAGATATTGCAGCGAACACCTACAACTGGTCAGAGAAGGATCAACAAGTGAAGAAGATGCACGAAGACTTCATTCAAGCTATTAACAAGTTCGTCTACCGAACTCATGTCTCTGCATTAGAAGGACTGGAAGAAGATGGCGCTGGTGAATTGTTGTGCGGTAAAAGTGATGAAGTCAAGAACAATATCATGGGCCTTTTCCTTCCTCTACTCCCCCCACCACCAAGGGTCGTCGATGTGGTTAGACCTGCTACTTTATTGCCAAGCTCCCCAGCTGGCATGAATTGGTGGTCGCAACCCACGATACCAGTAACAACCGCAGCTCCTGTTGACCCATGGAGGATGGTTCCTTCAAGTCCAAGTACGACATCTTCCATGTCCTCTGCAACCGACACTCAATCTTTATGGGCAAGTATGGGCTTGAATGAGATTCAACTGCCTTCCCCTACACCATCTTATAGCCAACCATTCACCACGGCCGGACTCTTCTACAGCGCACCACAAGTTAGTGCGCCAATTCCAGCACTTCCTCTACCAAGCATGTTAGCACAGCAGCATTGCGGTATTGGTATGGGGTATGGTGGATTTGGTGGATTTGGAGGTGGATGGGACCGATATCAGGAGTATGCTACAACGATGTGACAACCAAGGCCTGGATCGTTAAACAACCCCCCTACTACCCGCTCCGGGGTTTAGGGCAGGCGACAGTATCACACATAATACCATGGCTCCAAGCCTCTGTACACGACAACAAACATTACATACATGGCATCGGCAAACTTCTTTAGCGGCATTTGATACCTCTGAGGGCACTTACGGCGTTTTTACATCTTCATTATCATCCTCATCAGCGATCGAGCGAACAAAAGATATCCTGGGAACAAATCATACTTAATAATCAGCAAGAACAACAATCTCCTTTCATTACAGATACATAATAGGATACCATTTTTTTCTATCTTTTTGGTTTTTTCATTTTTATTTATTTAGCGCAGCGAGTTCGGATTTGCTTTTACACGACACTACACAACCGCAAGACCGGTTCAACCAAATTTCCTTTTCATCGCATATGGCAGGACCTAAAGGCGGGTTATTTTGAAGCATTTAGTGGCATGGTTCCAAGATTTTCATATCATAAAGAGAATACCTTATTAAAAGGATAACGCAGCAATGCAGGGCTTCACGGGCGCGTCTGGATACATTGATTTTTGACTTTTCTTTTTACGTTTGAGATATTATCTTACGTTTGTTTTGGGAGGAAGAAAACCGGCTTTTTCTACGTCCATTTCCTTTTTGTTTCTGTTTATGAATTTATGAATCATGAATGCTTATGAATTTTGCTTGGACAAAGATCAAGGCATATATATGATTTATGGATTCACGAAAATAGAAATTGGGACCATAAAAAGATCATCTGCTGCGCAGATCGACACAACCAATGGACGAGATACTAGTCTTCCTCTATGCGGACAGCAATCAACGGACAAATTGTTTAGATGAAATCATCAAACTGCGACCATTTCAATTCTCGCTAGTCGAGGTTGGCATTGGAAGCGAACAGCCTAGATCAAGTTATTCTATCAGGAAAGACAGATTCTTTCAGAAATACACTCAATACCGACTCATTATCTCGAATGCGGATCGATCAATACCTGCAAGTCGGGCGATTGAATCTTACATGTTGGGGGTGGGCTAGTTATTTGGGTGGATTTGTGTAAGGGTTTGGATGTTCGGTAGAAGAGGGAGTGAAGGGCAAATGGTAGCTCATCACTACCTCTTCTAAACACTATCCCATACTATTATACTTGATGTATAGTAACTTGAAGGTAGTGTTTGGAAGAAAGCTGAAAATTCTCTCTCGTCCTGCGGACAGAGTTAGATAGAGGTATCGATGCAGGTTTCTTTTTTTCGGCACAGGGCAAGGGAACAAAGGGAACGGAATCTATCATACTGGCTATGTGGATTATGGGAACGGTGGTTACATGGCTAGTACATGGATTACTAAGTATGGAAAGAGAAGGAACAATACTGTGTGTAGGTAATCTTGGACTTGAACCTGATACCGAGAAAAAGATTGAAAATACAAATAAAATGAAAACCATGGAAATCTCTTCAATCCTTTCCTAGCTTGTGATCTTTTGCTCTGTTCATCAGACGAGGTGAGGTGAGTGCAGTATCACATGAATGCAGCATGTCACTCGCGAACTCAAAAATTCTTCCCACGAACAAAACAATGTCAGCCACTATCAAATCCTTCTCCCATCCAGCCGGCCTTCAACCGAAAGGATTCTCCCCAATGCATCTGGATCCGTAATGAAGCAGGGCTATACCCCGATTGGTCAGCATTACGAACATTGAAGCGATGCCCAAACCAATACCCGCTCTCGCCGCCAATCCCAGCCACGTAAACGAGCGATTTCACTACTCATTTAGGAAATCCGAGTCCGAGGGTTAGTGGGCTGAAATGCAAGAAAATTGGCGGGAGCCGTGGTATCGTTAGATTACAGTAAGACGATATCGGCTGGTACGTTGCTGTATTGATATGGGGTCCCCTCCTCCGTATCTGTGCGTCTAGAACGCATACCTTGTCGACAATGTATATAGAGATCTTCATATTACGGCGCTGAAGTTTTATTATGCGGTAGGTGGTAGGTGGTATGTGGTATGTGGTATGTGGTATGCAGGTAAAAGGAGCCTTTTGTACTCCCACTCGCAAATGGTAAATTTCATTCCATGTCTCCGTGCTAGCATTGTTTACTACCTGTCGTACTCCCCGAGTCTCATTTCTGACGTCTGTCACAATCCCAAGAGATGCAGAGCTACGGCACAGTGAAGCTGTAATACCTGGAGAAGTAGCATTTGATTGATTTATTGATTGATTGATATAGTATATAATATTTACATCGCCCTCCCTATCCGTGGATAAGCGCTTTTGCCGACGACTCGGGTCCTCATTTTCATTTTTTGAGCTCTCACTTTGTGGCACAGCTGATCATCTACTCACATTGGATTGTAAGCGCGGGTGTACTAACTTCGTCTGGTGTCAATACGAAGTAATCTACCGGATATCATGGGATGAAATAATGTGATATTTTGTGTCTCCACCTACCCTACCAGAGCAAACCCATATATTGTATTGTATCCCCCGAAACATCCATTAGAGCAGCGAAAAAAAGCCACAGTCACCCAGAAAATGACCATTGAAGAAATGCAGCTTGAAATCGTGCCACATCATTCCGTAACCTCGCAATCTAATCAAACATTATAAGCGCCCAGTCTATTAGCCAAGCTCCAATGATTCCTACCCAATCAAGCATAACGCACCCTCCAGGGACTTGAAAAAGAAAACCTTAAATCGAAAACTACACTCCCGTAAATAACTCTCATGAATCATACATACTCAATCGAGACAAGCGAGACAACTCCCGTTCTCGGTCCTTCTCATCCACACACACCTCCAATCCTCCCGCACATCTCCCTCTCCAGTTAGTCATTAGTGCATCGAGATATTCGTGCATACTGATTGTGACCAAACGTCTATGACCCGCATGAGTTTTCAGTCATGTGAGTCTCATTTTCTCCTCAACATTACCATCGATTGGCCGAGTGATCGTCAGATCAGCTATGCGTATGCAAAAATAGAGAGAAATTTGCGCGATTTCTTGATTTCGATGCAGATTCTAGAGAAAGACAATGCAGTCATTTACAGATGCGGTATTCGAGACCGTGGAGATGACCCGCATGAAGTTTCGGTCATGTGAGTCTTAGGTTACCCCTCTTCTTTATATTTTGTTGATCGGTTGAGACGTTTGATGGGAGACGGGTGAGTTGAGATACATGAATCATGTTGTATCGAATGCGGTAAGGAAGGGAGGGAAGATTTCGATGTGATCTAAATGATGACTCGCATGAAAATTCAATCATGTGAGCTGCATCTACGAGAGAATTCGATGAAATATTAGCTAACCCCTACTGAGATATCCATATCGAGCAACAAGAGTTCTTTTCCAAGTTAGAACTTCTTTTCAAGCCTGGATTCACATGCTGAACGCTGCTAGAGAAAAATAAGCCAGGCCGAGAAATTATGATAGATCATACAGAGCTACGCAATCAAGAAATCTAGAACTGATCTGCATGGAGAAAATCGAAACAAGGTAGGCGTTGATAGCTACCCGTTACTTCAACGGACACGGACCGAAAACATCGTAGTGTCAGTTTTGTGAACGCTTTTTAAACCCCATAAACAGTCAGTCATGACTCATGTGCGAAGAGTGTAGGTGGTATTTGAGATACTACCTGTCGATCTCCGAAGGGCGATTCCCACGAAACACACCGGGAACAAAAACCCGTTCTGTAATCTTACTTTGGGAGAAAAGATATCATGTCGTTCATGTATTCTAGACACGGTCTCCGGCCCGAGATATCCTGCAGTATCGGACTGAAATGATAGATCAGATTCCACAAAGGCCCGTGGAGGAGATGAATTGTGCGACTTTCAAAACGTTCATCATATTCCACATTTTGATATTATTTCTCGGTTAGTATCTTGATTCAACGCTTACCCATTACCCCCCTAACTGTCCGAAAGCATAACTGACTCAATTAGGAGTGCCCACGGTACCGATAGCCAAGCGCGGGCTCAGAATAACCATACCCCCTGGATCGAAGCCGAGGAATTCTTCAATACGAAACGGCCCGGAAAAATGATGATATCAGTCGCCGTAACGGTGACTACACGAAACGGATATCAAGACTACGGTCGCATGTATTCACTAAACGGGAAGTGATACTGAACTTCATCCCGAACAGAACCAGAAATCGGAAGAAGCTAAGCTAAGCAATCATGACTTCGGTTTCTCCTAGGCAGCCATACTCCTCAATCAGGTGCCCACAAGCAGAATCCGGAAACGTATCCAACTCCCCGATCCGTGGTACATGATCTATGATCCGATCTCCTATGTTACGGGAGACCCGGTTTTCGTTGAGTGAATCCATATGTGTCAGGCAAAGAATATCAAGTCTATTGGGGTTCTTGATTACGTCTGCCCTTACGTTTGGCTTCTGTGTATTTAATACAGGATACTCTCTGAGGCACAAATTAGTCTCACAATTAAAAGTGCCGTGCCTGATGAATAACGAGGTTGTTGCGTCTAATCTAATATATACTGAGGCAAAAAGTACTTTGGATAGTTACCCATCTAGGTAGGTATCTTTGAAACAATTCGCATTGGGTCTAACATGATTAGTCCGCAAGTACTAGATTAATGTGCTTCCACAACTTAAGTTGAATGCTTCAAACGCTGTGCTTGATGAATTGTCTAAATTTAATACTATCAAACTACAACATTGGTTGTTCAAGAAAGAGGAGATGACAGATCGAGGCTTATCCCGTGAGTTGAGATGATAATTCATCAAGCTACGTGTAATTATCGAACTCCAAAAAGGGACTCATCGCCCTTACCAAGGTCGGATGCTGAAAGTTCCCAATCTCGCTTCTTTGGCGAGGGTGTAAAGTGTCAAATGCATCAATGTTTATGTAGGTACTAGGAACTCAAGAAAATTCAAATGATAAGTAAAAGATGATTTGTATTGCGTCAAGCAAACATAATATACAAGAAGAAGCATCCACCACCAGGCTCCAGCCTTTAACCAATCCTCGGAGATAAATCAAACCTCAAGTTGTCTAGCTCTAACCCCCTTTCCTATTCAAATTCCGGAGTTCCATACCGGCTCACAATATCACAAAGTCCTGGGACTCATCCATAGATGAAGTCTCTAAGATGTGGTGACATCGCTCTCAGTGTAGATACAGTATTTACCATCGGGACCGCTTCCATACTCAGTAGGTTCCTGGCTGTTATCATCAGTACCTGTGTATGTCACACAGATTTCTTTGACAGAGTTTGCTACAATGTTGGTGAAAGTTGCAGTGTCGCCAAAGTTGTAGTTAATGCCTATAGAGATAGTTAGTTAGCAAACAGAATCATGCGAGAGGAAGTAGAAGGATCATTTTTCCTCGGAACAACATACCGGCAAGCTCTTTTCCACTAGTAGCAGTGACTGAATCCATGATAACATGTCTCTCGTACATTGTCTTGCAGTTACCACATGATCTGTACAATTTTCCAAAGGTATCGACAGTGAAATCAGAAATCTTCAAGGTTCCAGCTCCGTTGTGTTGGAAAACCTTATCCTCGGCTCCAAAGGCACCTCCACCAGAAATTGTGGTGGTAGCTCCAGCATCTTGGTTCTTGATGGTGAAGGCATCTTCACAGACAGCAGACCACCATACATTGGTCAAGGTGCAAGCTCCTTGGCAATGAACACCTTCGATTTGGTTGGGTCCGATGATGACGTTAGAGAGGGATCCACCAGCTTCAATTTGGAAGACGGCATCTTTGTCACCACCTTCGGATTGACCGGTACAGCTGACTCCTCGATCGAACATAACCATTCCACCATCGAAAGATTCACCTGCGGCGATAGTTTGAGCGGCTGAAAGGGCAGAAGTACCTGAAGAGGCGGGGACAGAACCGCCAGTGGTACCACTGGATGAATTGCCAGAGGATGCCGAGCTGGTGATTGTTGATGAAGCAGCGCTAGCGGACTTTGATCCAGAAGAACCTGAAGACTTGGCAGTGGAGGATGCTTTAGATGCTTTAGATGTAGAGGATGCTTTGGAGGATTTCTTGGTGGAGGATGCTTTGGAAGACTTCTTTGTAGAGCTGCAACGATACAAAATCAGTATTGAGGGTAATCAGGAGCGTTTGTAAAATATTTTTGATCACCAACCTTGAAGAATCCTCGTCATCTTCATCTGAAGTCTTGCGAGCGTGCACGACCTCTCTGAAGTGAAGTCTTGGCGCATCGCGTGCTTCGAGACCAGTGGAAGCATCCATAGGAGCCGCACTAGCAACACTGATTGTGGCAGCCAAAAGGGCCAATTGAGCGAATGAGAATTGCATTTTGATTTGGGTTGAAAAGTAACTGGGTTAAAACTTGAAATGAGATATTGAAATAAGTTTGACCAGCAAGGAATGAAGTAAAAGACTGAGTTGTCTGGATAGTGAATGATATGGAAAGAGTGCAAGATGAAGATGTTGATGAGGATGAGAAGCAATACTAGACGGGCATTTTAGCAACTTATATATCTGGATTGCTTCTTCCTCTCCGGATACTCATCGGCGGTGACCCCTTTGAGCTTTGGAAAAGGAGAACCAAAAACCCGTCATACTGGAGCTGTGAACAATCAAAAAGAAACATTTGTGGAGGCCTTGCTATCTACTCCACGGAGTAAGTCCCCTACAGCTATCAACAGATAGATTGGCGTTAAAAAGATAGAAGAGTCTAGAGAACTTTCATTGATTGGACGAATTCGAGAAACGATGATCTTGAAACCGCGATGTGAGTTTGTCCAATCTCAATTCTCTCGAGACTATGTTTAGATCTAGAAATGATCAATCTGATATCACTGATATCTGGACGTTGCATCATTAATCCCATAAGCACTTTTAATTAAATTCGAAACTCAAAGTCCAAAGCCAAGATGCCAAAATAGGACGTGAGAATTTATTCCGAACTGCCAAGTCAAGATGCCATCTTGTAGTTTCCTTCCTTAGCCGCTTGGCTACTTGGCGCTTACGACTCGTCGCGAAAAAAAACCCATGCTCAAGGCTCAAATGATTGTTGATCTGCAAAACATTCACCCACTACAATATCGGTATTGCGTCTGTTGTTTTCCCATGGAGATTGCAGTAGAGTAACCTCGCGCCCTTAGAACAAAAAAAGATAGTGTATGAAGAGTCCAGGAAACCATTCATAGGTTCACACCACTTAACCATCGTTCACTTACCTCGAAAATCATTCTGCTCGAGACACCAAAGAGCATGAATCCGCTTATGTCAACTGAGTCTAAGCTTTAAAGTTTTTCGATCTAGGAGAATTTTTTGCTTAAAAAAAGGTACCAAATATAAGAAAGAGGCTGAAACAAGCAACTGTGGAGAAAGCATATGCCATTATGGCTACAGACATCCCATCTAGAAGGTCTGTGTCTTGGCAAGTAATTTGGGATGATTGTGATTGTTGAGATGATCCAATGACGCGCTGTCGCTGTGCGTATGATCCGGATGCATAGAAGCGGCCATTCTTCCTGCCATTGAATACATTGTATATATCATGCATCATCGGTTGATTATGAATGAAGAGAGTGGAATTGTATGATGTGAAGTTTGAGTAAGCCGGACTGATTTTAGGTTTGGTAGAAGGTTCTCTTTGGCCCACATCAGCAAAAGCGACTGATAGATCTTTCCTTTTTCACTTCAATCGTTGACAGAATAATTCCACCACCAACATGGAAGATCTTTCTGAAGTGGAAGAGAGAACTTTAATGTGATTGCGATCCTCGAATGTTTTGATTACCTAAGCATTGTGTCCCCATTAGCGTCAAACCGTTGCCATCTTCTGTAACAGTTTCAAAACTTCGAGACCGACACTTCATGAACTGTTCATCCGACATTCTGTTTACTTTTAGAGGTTGAGCGCCGACTTGGGGTTTGTTCTCCAAACATGATAGAGTATGGACTTGGTCGGTATCCTTTGGTGAATCGAACGGTTGTCAAAACGCTCATGGGCAGATCTCAAGTGCTATCCGATATCTGACGTATCCATTGCTGTCAGTGTTTTGGCAACTGTTGAGATATTAGGAATGTATTCATTCCTCCCGCAGTTTTGCCGTCTTCTTGTGTATTGCAAGGTTTTCTTTAAAGACCCTGTTCAGCGTGTGATCAATAAGAAACCTTTACCATTATTTAACTTCATTTGTCGTCTATCACTTGGCCATTTTGAATTCCACTCTTGCTTTATCTGGTGTGATCTGTTCGAGTTTGGAGGTTGTACGTGGCCATCATGTCTATCGATCACTCTCTGATATTCATATTCTACTGCTATCTTTTCTTTTGATAATTATTAGGTGAATTTTTAATACCAGCAAATATTACAACCATCTCAAGACTTACCATCAAGGAAAGCATGGATGACCAAATGCTTGGAAAGAAACCAATAGACCTACAAGTAGGGGAAATCCATCCACCCATTCCCTTGTTTCTACCTGATCGCGGCGTTCTAGGAGAGTGAAAGCTCCGAAAGATGACAAAAATATCGTAGACGATAAACCCAACCTTCATCACCCGCCTCTACGCAAGACAATACGCTTGGAAATGAATATTTGTCATTGGAATCTACAGACAACTAGATCTGTCTCTTCTGATACAAATCAGACGTTGCTTTCGGATACAATGCTGTACCTCTCTTCTATGCTGACAATGTTGATGTTAGAAATGGCCCCATCTGTGAACACTTCATCTGCATTCCCTCTCACGGAAAGATACTCTGGGGTAAAGCATGGAGTTTGGTTCAGACGAGTCGTCCTGGATCAGTACATCGAATCTTTTTTTACTTGCTTTGATTGCGGCTTTGGCGTCGGATTCGCTAGCTTCTCGATTTCCGTCGATAATCCCCATTACGAACTTGTGTGAAGCCGGAACTTATCGCGAATTACAACCATTTGAAGCCGCAGCTCGCATTTCGATTTGCTCTCCGCACCAAAGCTCCCATGCATACCAATATATCTTACTAACGTATCTACTATTTGCAGACTGATCGCAGCTTGCTGAGAGATATGACAGTCTTGATGACACGGCAGCCATCCTGAAATTGATGGTTCCGACTGACTAGTCTACATTACGAGGAGGACGTTCATGATGATACCAGACTGAGATCTATCATGAGTATTCGAGTCCTATGCAGTCAGTCCTTCGTCGAAAAAATCAAAATCAATAAATTGTGCGGGATACTAGGAATAGATAGGGACTGAGTGTGCGGTGTGAATTGAATTTCCTCAACTCTCACTGAGTGAAACCACGATTCTCTATTTTGACCGCACCTGGAAATGGGTAAATAGATTAATCCCTAGATGGTAAAGATCTGGATATGACAGCTACACATATGCTTTATCGCTAGCACATCCATCATCGCCAAATGTTCTCGATGTTAGAAAATGTCAGTATTCCATTGCGCAGGTGAACTTGCAGCACATCGTTGAAACCATCTCTGCACCTTTCATAGATATCCACTGACAAGTAAATCGAAAAATTTAAAGGAAAAGGAGCTAGCGAAGGAGCTGTCGACCTGGTACGTCTTACCAAAACATCCTAATAAGAACGATGAGCCAAAGACTGTCAAAGCACATTGAGCACCTGAAAATTGCGAATCCCACAACTCATTACTATGACTTCAACCCGTAATATCATCGAACTTGGTGTAAAGTTTCTCGTCATGTAATCTATAGTCTTCATCGAGGCTTGAGAAATGAGTAACAAGGTAGCTATACTACCAGAATGCAATGATGGTTTGACTGAATTAGAATCTTGTAAGAGTTAACGCCACTTTGAATATTGACCGACTATGATATTTATGTTAATGGATGATAATCATTCAACATTTGATATACCCGACCAATCAATCTCTTTAGCCAATGTTGTTCATCTTCTTCTTGTTGGTTCATTCTAAAACTGACACACTCGATACAATTGTTTCAGTTGTTATAGCCATCGAATTGCAGAAATTTTATGCATGCTGTAAAATTCATGTCACATGTGTAGGACTCGACAAAAATGTCTTTTTGTGGATGGTCAATGTTCGGAATCCTTCGCTCATATTGATAGCTCTTCGTAACTTGGTACTAATATGTCGATTTTACCTTCACTTTTTCATAGATCAATCTCAAAACCAGCACTCATTATCAAGTATTAACAAGGAATGCCACCGATCCAACATTTGAAAGATCCCTAAACCACTGGCGGCGTCCTACCCGCATTACAAGCCCCACTAATACTCTCACAAGCCAACGTCAGATTCCCCGAACTGTCTCCTATCCAGAACAAGAACGGCTTCGTGGTAGAAACTGGAATTACCCAATTCTGTTTCGTCACATCCCAAACACTGATATCCTTTCTTGTAACGGCAAGAGATACGACTTGTTTCCCTCCCGGTGCCAATGTATCCGTCTTGGCATAATTACGTAGCTGGATAATAGGAGTATCATAGGAAGAATCGGAGGGATGTTGAACGTACAGCTGGACAACAGATTTACCGGCTACGAGGCCGGTGTTGGTCACTGTGACTGACAGAGTGAATATTGTGTCCCAGAGCGCGGGGTTTCCACCTTGATCTCCACCAGATGGGGGGTCGGGTTTGGAGACATTGGTGTACCCAGTGGGATAGACGAATTTACCTGGAGTGATACTTGAAGGATTGTCGAGGTATGGATAAAGATATCTTCCAATAGCGGAGAAACCTGCAGGCCAGGCGACTTCAGATGCTGGAGGAATGGCAGTACTATATACTGGAGTTGAGCCTTTAGCAGCTCGGGCCGGAGGAACCGATGTGAGTGCTTTTCCGGCTGCGAGAGTAGCCGTTCGAGAAAATGTGGTGTAGGAAAGTCCATGGCCAAATGGAAAGCGAGGGCTGATTGCATGCTTGTTGAGGTACCGATAATCAACATACAATCCTTCAGAGAAAGTATCCTGAACCTGGCCAAGCGCAAACCCGACAAGACCAAGGGAGGATGGGTAGTTGCTTTCCGAGACAGGAATGGAGTAGGGAAGATGTCCACTAGGAGAGTATGCGCCGAAAAGGATATCCGTCAATGAATCTCCAGCTTCTTGACCTGGCAGATGAGCAAAGAGTACGGCTTTGACTGAAGTAAGGTTTATCCAATTCTCAACAAGAATGGGTCCTACTGTATGAACAACTACCACCACGGTGGAATACTTAGCTGCTGCAGCTTGAACGAGTGCATCGCCATTATGCCATGCATACAGTCCTGACGACGAGCGATCTCCATCGTTTCCTTCTACTGTTATTGAATTCTCACCAGAGTCACTGTTTATGAATACGATGGCGATATCTCCAGGAAGAGCAGTCAGGCCAGATGGAAAGCTATCACTGGTTGAGCTATAGACATTGGAAGCTTTTCGCTTAATCGCGTCAATGGGCGCATCAAGGTAAGGGTAGTTGGCAGTTCCTATGAGCTTGATTTAGTTTACCTTTTTACAAAAAAACTTTGAACGATGCATAACGTACCTGAGCCCCATCCCATACCGAGAACGCCAGTATCACAACCCCTTTGGTTGCAAGCATTAGGCCCGGAAGGATTGTTTGCAGAGTCAGAGCCAAAAACTTTCAAAGCAGCTGAGGTCGAGAGTGGCAGTGTGTTGTTGACGTTTTTCAACAGAGTTATGGCTTCTCTCGAGATATTCCGAGAAACGACTGCATGGTTAGATTGTACATTTACGTGTGAATTCACTGTGCATGTTGGAGAAAACAATGCTGCTGGATAACATGGTCCAGTAGTGTCTAAAGTGTTTGCGGAGAAATTTGGTGGCGGGAAACCTTTATCCTGTCCAAGTTGATACCTATGTGATGTATTGATTAGCCATGACGTAGACTCGTCGAAGTTTGAAACAACTCCTTTTCCAAGCCAGGCACTTTCTGGAGAAACGTTTTCTCGAGGGAACACTCACCAAGTTGCAACAATTCGAGTAACCATATCATTCAATCGATCAACTGGAACAGTTCCATTCAGAATAGCAGTTGAGAGTTCATAGGCCCAGTATGCTTGCCCGAGGAAAGGGATTCCTGCATCACCGGGCATAGCCATGTCGAGGCCAGCAAGAGCAGATGACACACCGCCAATTTGGGATAGCCAATCTGTCATCACCTATGGATATTTAGAATTGTTTTGGGGTATGTGGGTATGAACTCTTACCAGGCCTTGGAATCCAAGCTCATCCTTGATCAAGTTGTTGATCAGGTATGAGTTTTGACTTGCCGCGCTTCCATTAACCTGCTTGGTCAGTAAAGGGTTGCCAAAGGTCTACGAAGATAACACAGAAGAATCACATTTTGCCAAGGGAGTACCTGCAAATCTAGTGAATGTGCCGAGTTTATCATCGAATGACTTCCCGTTTGTATCATACCAGACTTGATAGTCCAGCTCAAAACATCATGAAATTCTCATGCGTTTGTCAAAAATATACACTCACATCATTGTAACTTGTCATAACAGCTCCAACACCAGCTTTGATACCTTCTGCAAAAGGCCACATGTAAAATTCATGAAGAGTTCTGCAAATTAGTTTCGGTAAAGTCTACATTCAAGGATACGCGTACCTATCATCGATGTTACTACTAAGAGCTTTCATCAAGCCATGAGGGATGATATCCATTCGGTATGCTTCTTGTTCATTTCCAATAAAGTGTTTGATGGTTGCTATGACACCATTCGCCTGCATACCATTGATTGTCTGAGCGGCACTTAGTCCTTGAAGTACAGGATCTAGATGACAATGAATTTAGCCTCGAATCTGATGTTAAACTTTTCAAAAGCTCTTACCAGCGCCGAACCCTTCCCAATTTCGACCACCACGCGGTTTTCTTCCAATTGGACCTAAAGATGGTCAGAAATCTGTATATTGGCCGAGGCTGAACGGGAAGAATGTCTTCGTAGTGCATCTGCCACAAATGCCCATCAAACATACCGACGGTAGGACCTAATAGAATGTTGACTCCCTTCCCCCGCGCTTCTGCGCCTAACGCAAGACCTCTTTGATAGGCTAAATCTTTGCTCCATGTTGCACCAGTGGTAATGCCAGCGGGAAAAGCAGTATTGTTATCGGTAGCAGCTATGCCCAGTGCCGAATCTTGTAAACAAAGACTTGGAATACCGAATCTTAGTGCGGAGCCGGTGTTTCCCACACATCTTCCCATCAATTCTCCAATTCCAGTTGTGAGATTGACCTTTTCCGCTAATGTCATTTGTGCCACCACAGTTTGTGCTTTTGCATAAGCAGTCGTCCAGGAACTAGCCCAGCCACCTTTCGGGGCAGGGTAATATGGAGCAGCAACATATCCTGCAGGAACTGAGTCTCTTTTCACAATTGTTTCGTCGCTAGATGGGGGAATGGGCGGAGCCTTGTGTATAAATGAAGGTATCTTAGCCTGCACAAACCCCAACAGCCACAAGGAGACAATCAAGAAGGTGATCTTGACTAGCGCCATTTTAAGGACGGTACAACCTATCAAGAATTATTTCACAGATAAGTCCTGTGAAAGTAGGTACTTCTGCAATCTGGTGGGTGGGGAGGTTCCATGATATAGAAAAACTATGTGACAGAAATCATGTATGCATGTACACCCAAGACGACTTCTTCAGGTAACTGCACTCAACGAGGATAAAAGCTTGTGATTCTTGCATTCCGAGGTCCGCAACAACCATGATCGTGTATGCTGTAAGATCTGCCCTATCATTCAAGAACCATGTTTTGCATGGGTGGGATTGACTTTCTGCGGACAAAACAGGAAGTTCAATGAACGATCACATTAAGCTCCCAAGATCATGGAAACATGGGACGGAGATGATACCTCTCGTGGAATGAGGAGAAGTACAAACAGGAGAAAAGCTCCAGTAATACTAAGATCTCCAGCTGAGGTTTGTGCTGTAGTCGTCGGTAAGATGGATGTTCTTTCCTTTTCTAATTCATTCCGTCTTGAATATTTCGTCACGAACTCACCCGTTGCCTTTTGCGGGGTTTCCCCTGACGCCCAGATTCAATTATGCAGCGCCTTTATCCGGAGAGCCGGCTTAGGTGCAGGTGATGAAAATAATTTCAATATTTTGGAGTGTGCCACCGAGACCACCCACCAGAAATATTATCCAAGGTACAAAAGGAGGCCATTCTGCAACATTGTGAAGATAACCCTATCGTACCCTGGCTTGTGAATTGTGCACGTCTTTGACCTTCTCGACAACAACGCCGACTGGCCCGAGTGACACGTCCCGTAGCATTCGTCGAATGAGGTATCATTTGATCTCAATCTGTAACCCAGAGTAACAGCTGGTATATCATCAAAACAAGCAAGGGGCTTGGTCGGTATATATATACCGTGCATGCCATGAACTAACTGGATAGATAAGTGTGGGAGAGCGAGTGAAAATGGACAACCAATACATTTACAAGCGCTGTCGAAAAGCTTGTCAACAGGGGAATCATGAGCAAGAAGATGGATTATGCTATGTGCTCTCCTTTTGATGATTCGAGATTCAACGCCAACCTGACAATGGAAGTTACATTAATGAGAATTTAAGACATGTTACGCCCAACTAGGTAAACTTGAAGATCATTCTGGAAAGTCCGATCCACACTTCCCCCCTCTTGGGCATCGGTCACGTGTGATTTCTCGTTTGTTGTAGATTTCTGGTTACCTAAGGCGACAGACAGAGGTGTCAACGGAAGCTAAATAATAAGAATCTCGTTGGTCGCGATAACTTTCTCCAGAAAAATCTTATCTTATTTGCGCCATCGATTGTCTTCTGGCATAACTGACGTCTATTTGATTGACCATCAAAATATACTCGCTCGTTCATTTACTTTGCTATTCAAAAGCTTCTTTTCAAAATGGGAGAATCAAGGTTCGTTGAGCTGCACTCATCAACGAGAAGAATTCTCAGTCTCTGACAACATGGCACATATAGACAAGAGCTTGTGGCATGGCTTAACAACCTGCTACAACTTAACATCACAAAAGTTGAACAATGTGGCACTGGGTAAGTAAACCTCTGGCTTGCAAAAGGAGTTTTATCTTCTTTCCCCCTATAAGACTATTGACTTACAAATATCATGAACACAGTGCTGCGTTGTGCCAAGTCTTCGATAGTATTTTCCTCGATGTACCGATGTCAAAAGTCAAGTTCAATGTCAATACTGAATATGCATATCTACAAAATTTCAAAGTTCTTCAAAGTCAGAATACCCTCCCCTGAATGTGCTTTCCTCCACTGACCACGACCAGACACCTTTACCCGCCATCAAGTCGATCGAAACATCCATGTCGAACAACTTATTAAATGCAAGATGCAAGACAACCTCGAATTTCTACAATGGACTAAGAGATACTGGGATCAATACTTTCCAGGAGGAGAATATGATGCAGTAGCTCGTCGACGTGCTGCAGGGGGACCCGGTGCCGCACCATCTGCTGCTCCAAGAGTATCCGCCGGAAGTGGTGCAGCTCGTAGAGGAGTAACACCAACAACGAGCGGCGCAAGAGTTGCTAAGGCTGCAGCCGTTGGCGGTGGTGCAGCTTCAGCGGCACTAAAAGCAGAGAACGACACTCTGAAGGAAACAGTTGCAGGACTAGAACGGGAACGAGACTTCTATTTTAGCAAACTTAGAGATATCGAATTACTGGTTCAACAAGCTTGCGAAGAGGACCCAGAGATTGAGAAGCAGGAAGACGGCTTAATCAAGCACATTCAAACTATCTTGTACTCGACTGAAGATGGATTTGAAATACCGGCGGAGGCGGAGGTTGATGACCAAGAAGAGACATTCTAGATTCTTTTTAACTATAATGGGATTTGAATTTGTTTTGCAGCTGCAAATGAATTCGTTGGTCCTTTCACCTGCGGGAGTTTATAGCAAGCAAGGCTATGAGATACGAATTACGAACGAGCGGAGTGTGTGCGAGGCACAATATCAAGCTCTCACAGGTTGGTAGCATTCATGGGCTACGGGAGGTTGCATGCGTTGGAACAATTCTGAAGCATATTGAGATCTCACATGATTCTCAAATGAGTTCTCTGGTTATTGAAGAAGAGTTTAATTATTAGATGTAAACCCCACAAGAGTTTTTTTTCTTCGTATAATACCAATTTGATTGTCCATCATGAGAACAAGAATGACCTCGAGCTCTCACAATCACAATTAATCTCTTATCGCCAAGTGACATTTTGCGCTATCAAGCATCAAGCGTCATCCTTGTTGCACAGGACAGGGTCAGCCCATACTAAGCTCACGAGGCAACCTCAAAACAAACGGTGACCACCATCTCTTTACATTTACAAAGGAAATATAACCAACAATCAATCTTCTGTATCGCATCGCATCAAACCACATCACATCTATCAGTCAATCAATCAATCAATCAATCAATCATGGCACCGCCTCTCGAACTCTCGATACCTAGCACAATTCTCTCAAGCGCCCCAAATGAAAAACCCTATACTCTTTACAATATCACACTCCGTCTTCCTCTTCGAACCTTCGTCGTCCAAAAACGCTACTCCGATTTTGTCACTCTCCATTCTTCCCTCTGCACCCAAGTTTCCAGTCCGCCTCCCGCTCCTCTCCCAGGGAAAACATGGTTCAAAAGTACGATTAATTCTCCTGAATTGACGGAAGATCGTCGTCGCGGTCTCGAAACCTATCTCCGCAGCATCGCAGAAAATCCCGATCGGAGATGGAGAGAAACAAGCGTTTGGCGACAATTTTTAAACCTGCCTAGTAATAGTGGAAACGCGAGTTTGAGTAGTGCGAGAGAGGGACTCATTGCTGCGAATCAAAGAGGTGTGGGTGGGAATGCGGAGGTTATGGCGGATCCGCAGGTGTGGTTGGATGTTCATCGCGAATTGAAGGCGCAGTTGCATGATGCGAGATTGTTTTTAGGGAGGAGAGACAGCGCAAATACGGCGGCGGGCCAATATGAGGCGGGCGCGAACGCGAAGAGGTGTTTGGTTAAGGCTGGAGGACTGCTTAAGGATTTGGAAGAAGGCTTGAGGGTCATGGGTGAAGGGGAGAAAAATGGGAGGGGAGAGGCCAGGGTCGGCGCAGGTGAATTGAGGAGGAGAAGAGATCTTCTGGGTAGCGCAAAGGTGGAAAAGGAGGGCTTGGAAAAATTGGCTGTTACGTTGGCGGTTAAGAATCAAGCCAGCTCGAGTTCAGCAAACGGCGGTGCGGCAGCGACACAAGCGGACAAAAACGCATTATTTGGACCAGGAGTATCGCGACCCAGTGGACGAGTCCTCGGTGCACCGGTTCCTGAAACGGATAAAACGAGAGAATTGGATAATGAGGGCGTGTTACAATTACAAAAGGAATTGATGCAGAATCAAGATCTGGATGTGGAAGAACTTGGCAAGATTGTGAGGAGACAGCGAGAAATGGGATTAGCGATTCACGGAGAATTGGAATTGCAAAACGAGATGTTGAAGAGGGTGGATGAGGACGCCGATAGAGTTGGGGGGAAGATCAACATTGCCAAAAAGAGAATCGCAAAGATTCGGTAGATATGATACATATTGTACGAAATGGAAGGCATGGAATGTATATGGTCATTTTACAATGGGAATCAGCGTGGAGTTTATGGGTCTCCTTGCTCGCTACTTTGATGCATAGGAAGAGGGATAAATTGGGATGACAGGGAATACTTGTATATTGTATTTTTAATATAGTTAATCGAGGGGACGCGCAGTATATGAATAGTTAAATAATGTAGCTTGTTAAGAAGTCTAACGTCCATAGCATGAAATATCATACCATTTTTTCTTCATACGTACAAGTTGTTCTAGTAGCATACCCTATTTTTCATGAGCTGAAAGCTGTGAAGATGTATCTGTTGATATTTGATAGATCCCATAGGTGTTGTCAAATACCTACCTAGTACTCTTTGCTCTAACGCATAATGTGCTAGTTACCTACCTAGTAGCCCAAAACGCCAAAAACACACAAAACTTACTAGGTATTCGTCAACTGCCATCGTAGGTACTTCCCTCCCATCTCAACATCTAATACTTAATCCCAAACATCCAGCATACCCTCAGATATAACCAACATTCTCTTCTGAAATTCTATCCAAACCAAATCAAATCTTGATTTCCAAACATCTTTTTCGGATATGATGATTCTTCTCTTCTCTTCTCGCTTGCTCAACCTCTCTCCTATGTCATCCTATCTCAGCCTTTCTCGCTTCACCCTTTGAGCTCTATTCTACACCTAGCCTAGCTCAACCCATCTCATGTCATACCATCCCCTTCCCATCCCACTCAAGGAAGCGAGTCTGTCTCAGTGGGTACCTACCTACTTAAACACAACATCTAGATCTATAGAGAAATCTAGAAACAGAATAACTCTCTCTATATCCATCATATATCATAATGAGTAATATAGTACTTGCAAATAATTCTCATTTCATGTTAGTCTGAAATAAATGGATGAATGAATGAATAAATAAATAAACACATGAATCAATTACCACACCACCCCACACTGCCGAATTGTAAGTTACTATACCAAATATTGAAGAATACACATACCTAAGTAGCTAACAACATATCTACTGAGAGGGTCTTATCCACCTAAATACCTAAATACCTACATATCTAAATCGGTAGAGGTATATAACATTCGATACATCCATCAGACTAACCAACATACACAAACTTGGTAGATATCTACCTGAGCAGAGAGTCGTTAGCTTATATATAAGCGAAGACTGCTGAATGCCTACCTACCCAGGTAGGTACTTTGATAGATTGTGAAGTATCTATATATGAGTTAGGAGACGCGATATGATACAACATAATATAATATGAGCTGAGGTAATACGATGTGACATACCTACCAACCTACCTACCTAGGTATATTCAGATAAATTAAAACGGATGTGGTGAATAGCTTAGAGTATATAATCGTGCGTGTAGATATGGATCTTGAGTAGAGTTTCGTACAACTTGATGATGCTGTTGATGTACATCCCCGTGGATATACATACCCCACTAGTCCATCTCCCCGTATCATAACTAGATAGGTAATGACTAGAGCGTACTTATACACCATGCTATCAAATACAGATATCAATTTGTTATATCTTTTTTCTACATCCGATGGAAAGGTTTCTTTCAACATGCTAATTCGAATGAGATATGTCCACGGGTTCACTTGATCATCTCAATTGATGAGATGTCCTGTCCTCAATATCCAATAAATACAAAATAAATCAACCTCACATCTCACGACAATCACCAAGCAAGCCAAAAAAAAAAGATGTTCAAAGATTTATTTATTCCATCAATTACATCACTACCTAGGTATCCCACCACTATCATCACTATCTGTCCCTGACTCCCCTCACCCTCCACCCCCATTATCAAGCATTCCACAACAAACATACTCCAAACCTCAAACTTTAGTACAGAACCGGGTATTCAAGATACATACAATACGCTCTCTAACCAAACACCTCACAAAAATTGAAGAGGTACTGATACCCAATTCCATTCTAAATTCCCACAAGAAAGTTCCGACTAAAACTCGACGTCTCCCGTACGCAAACAAACACATAAACTCCTTTAGATGAGTGGAAATACTGCAGTATCAAGAACAGAGACTTCAAAAACAAAACAAAATAAAAACAAAAATAAAAACTCCATCGCTGATGCTTCTGTCGTGTTGTAAATGCTAGACTTGACTTTCGGGACTCATGATTTTCCTCTTACTCGCATCCCTTTCCTCTTCTACCGAGGGATGCAATTTCGCGTTCCAAACTCCACATTCCATGGCGTATTCCAGGAATTTGATACTTTCCCATCGCCCTCGACCCTCAAAACCATCCCAAGTTATCCAGTGTAGCTTTTGCATCATTAGGGCTCATGCCACTAACACCTAAACTTCTCACTTGGGTTCCCCTCCTCAATCTCTGTAACCCTAATGCTACCTTCCAAGCCTCACTTTCTTGAACCACAAAGACATACTTTTTGCCTTCTTGGTCCCTAATGCTCGCCCTCAAAATATGCAGACCAGCTGTTTTATTCTCACCAGTCTGCGCATTATGGTTAGTGGTTCTCTTTGATTTCTCGCCATAAGGAGAATTAGACGACCCAATGGAATCAGCATAATCAGATGAGACAGACGATCTAGTATCAGATGAAGCATAAGAACTGGCAGAATAGACAGAACCACTAGCAGAATGCGCAGTGGAAGAATTAGAAATGGCACGCGCGCGACAATTATCCCGGCAGAGTTGCAGCATACTAACTAGAAGAGCGTCTTTTTCTTCTTCACTTGCTGCTAATTCTTTATCGAGACCCCAAAGGCGTCGAACGGGATTTTTGTGAGCAGTGGTAGCGGGAGGAACACGCGATGCTTGTCTGAAAGATGGGCACCATACCTCTACGAGTTTCATTGTCCATGCTTTGACATCCCACTCTCGTTGAGCGACACCTCGTACATCGTCATCAATGAAGAGACCCTCTGTTGTGATTCTTAATATTAGTCCGTCGGTAACAGAACCGACACCAGATAGAAGTTGAGATGTAGGAGTTTTGTGGAATGCATTATTGAATGCGAATACACCTTTGATAACAATTTTATCCGGATCCTTGGTGCTATATGCTGCTCGTGTGGAAGGAGGTGGGGTGGTTCTACTCGTCGATTGTGAGGCCGCGTATGAGGATTCGGAATACAAGGAACTGAGTGACTTTTTTCGGGCTGGTCTTGGCGTTTGTGCATAAGGTGAGTGGGACTGGGCATCCTTGTCGGTACCTGCATACGTTCTTGCAGTTGAGACCGGGGGTTTCTTGAATGCGGTGGATTGTGCTTGAGGTCGGGGTATAGAGCTGGTAGTGGGGGGAGCGGGAGTTGTTGTGGGCGGTTTTCCATTTGGCCAAGGGCTTATTCTCTCCCCCACTCCAGCATTCGAATACGTATTCGGTTTTCTCCGTTCCGCTGCGAGTGCGGCTAGGGCTGCCCTTTCACGTTCTTCTTGGAGTTTGACTTCTCTTATTTGCGCTTCTACTTCGGCTGCCCTTTCACGCTCTTCCTTGAGCTTGAGTTCCCTCATTTGAGCTGCTATTTCGGCTGCCCTTTCACGCTCTTCCTTGAGTTTGAGTTCCCTCATTTGAGCTGCTATTTCGGCTGCTTTCTCGCGTTCCTCCTTAAGTTTGACCTCACGTATTTGCGCCGCTACTTCCTTCTCGCGCTCTTCTTTGGCTTTGGCCTCACGTTTTGCTGCCGCTGCGGCTTTAGCATCTGCCCATGCTTTCGCAGCAGCTCTTGCCTTTTCCGCCTTTGCTTTTGCCTCCGCGTCTGCTTTTTCCTTGTCTGCTCTGGCTTTCTTGTCGGCTTCTACTCTAGCAATAGCTTCTAGTCGTAATTTTTCTTGCTCTTTCTTAATTGCTTCCTCTTCCTTCCTTAAAACCTCCCTCCTGGCTTCCTCTTCTTTCCTTAGAGCCTCCCTCCTAGCTATTTCCTCTCTAAGTCTTCTATCGTAGTCCGCTCTTGCTTTAGCCTCTGCTTCTGCCTTGATTCGCTCTGTTTCTGCCTTTATTCGTTCTCGAATTTCGCGGTCCGCCTTTGCCTTTCTCTCTCGAGCCTGTTGATCCTCCCTCTCCAACTTCGCCAACCTTTCGCGTTCCCCTCTTTCCTTCTCTCGGGCTGCTCGTTCTCTCTTCTCCCGAGCCTCCAGCTCTTCCCTATCTCTTCGTTCCTTGGCTTCCCGTTCCTCTCTCTCCTTTCGCTCCCTTGCTTCTCGTTCCTCTCTTTCCTTTTGCTCCCTAGCTTCGCGTTCGGCCCTCTGTTTTTTCTCGCGGGTAGCTCGTTCCAGAGCTTCTTTTGCTCGCAACTCTCTCAATCTCTTTTCCAAATCTTCCTTTCGCTTCTTCTCGGCCTCTACCTTCTTTCTCTCCTCTTCCTTCCTTCTAGTCCTCTCTCGAGCCTCTTCCCACGCCGTCCTCGAGGCATTTTCTTTCGATCGAGTGTCATCGTTTGCGCCAGGGGTTGTGCCAGGACTGTACCTTGGTGTTGCGCCCGGCATCTCTGGACCGGCATCAGGCGAAGGAGGAGGAGTTTGTTCCCAACCTTCACTTGATCTTTTTCTTGCGCCAGATCCGGCCTGCGGATTAGGTGGAGGTCCCCCAGCCCCCTCTGATGTGGATCCAGGTGAAAATCCAGTTCCTGAAGTTCGTGGCCCACCAGTTGAAGCTGATCCATTGGAATATGTGTTATTATTGGCACCTGAAGATGATCCACCATGCGGAGGTGCACCCGATCCTTGACTTGGTCCGGGCCTGGTCTCACCGTTCGATTGCATCCGCCCTAGTGCCCAAGCTCCCAACCCAATTGCAACCATCAAAATCAAGGTTGCTGGCCCTCCACCTCCTTTCATGGAATCCATGAGTGGTTTTAATATGAAAGTTAGTGCGACAAGCACAAGAGCTGAAGCAAACCCCGCTACGAAACTATTAACATTTGGTTGCAGTGAGGGCAAGTAGAGAAATCCTGAACCTGACGCATGTGGTGGAATGATAAAAATGTCATAATTCCCTGGCGGTAGACCGGATGATTTTGGCGGAGTGCCATGAGGGGGAGGGGGTGGTGGTGGTGGTCCATCAGCCATTGTATTTGATGTGAATTATTGTGTGAAGAGCGATATGTACAGGTGATTAAAAATCGTGCGTTTTGATTGTGAATCGCTATTATCGAATTCGCAGAGGGTCTCTCGAAAGGATGAAAGTATCGTCATTAAGCCATGGATAACTGTAGTGTAAAGCAAGACATCAGCTTCCAAAGATTTCCTTTTTCAAGCAGGATTTGCGCAAATGAACAAACCCTCCAGAGTTGACCAACGGGGGAAAGAGTACTTTGCTAGCAATAATCATTCGACACTTTACTAAGATACATCCATCCAAAGTTCCAAGCGGGATAAACTTGCGCCGATAATGAATGGGCAATATTTGCAAATTGAATAATAAATTATCTCCTTAATCTCACCCTCTTGTCGCACTCTGTCTGTATCTGTATGATCCGAACTATTCCCACCGAAGCAAATAAGAAAAAGAGTTCACCAGGGAGGTGTGGTTAATTTTAAAAGTTGTATGGGATCAATCAAAGATGAAGGGTCGTAATTCGTGAAGGCTTCAGGACAGAAAAGTCCAAAAAAATAAAGTTCCCGTGTGTCAAAATGATACTTTTCACCAGGGACCAGGCCAGGGTTTCTGAGGTGGAGGGAGGGTGGAGGGTGGAGGGTGGATGGGTCGGTGGTACTTACTATAGGCGAATGCACCGCGATAAGTTCTCGAGTCTGAGAGGGAGAAATGATAAGGAAGGATCAATTAGATTAATGAATAATTGAATAATGATTGTTTTGCGTGTAGTCTTACAATTTGATGTCAAGTTTGATTGTGATGTTGATGTTGATGTTGATATTGATTGATATTGATTGATATTGCCATAGAAAGTTTCTACACAGAACCTTCTTCCATCCCATCCTTCACTCAAAAACACACCAAAAACACGCTTCAAAAAATAGGATATTCCTTGTTTACTTCTTCAAGACCAATCATGGCGTGGATCATATCAATAGTCTCAACATCAATCCAATCACCATGAGGACATTCAAGCCAAATCTCCTAGAGACGAAATCATCATCAATTGTTGGTTCACACTGGCTAGGTCTGCAGTACACTTTACTATTGTACTAGGTATTCTGATCTCTATTTACCTAGGTACCTACCTACCTGACCTATCTACCTGGTATCTCTACCCATCTCATGTGCGAAGTGATTGAATGGTTCAGCAATATCACTCGAGAATCTTCATTATCATCTCCACCTTCCTTTACCAAATAAACAACAGCACGACGACCACGTTTCCCTCCCCAAGAAGCATTCATCCGTCCAATAAATCTCTCGTACGAGTAACTTTGCTTTCGTCCTACTAGGTACTTATACCCCACCATACAAGTTGATACGACGGACTAATAATACCGGGTATGTATCTCCGTTCAATCAAAAACCAAACTATTGAAGCAAACCAGCGCCAATACCAATTCAATCCATCCAATGATTTCATTTCATCCAATCATTCCAATCCAATCGACATTAACTTCTTCATCTGCACTTATACCGTTGAGACCCTCTATGCGGTCCAACCCATCATGTCACAGTCTCACCATATCACACGGCATATGTCTAGGTAAACAAGGGACGGTCCGCTCACTAGGATGATAAAATTGTCTAATTTATCCTCTTCTTTCGGTTTCTGTCTGTCCACCATTACCAATCATCTATCATTCATCATCCATGATCATCTATTTTTCCTGGCGCCAGCATCATTATCATTCTTTAAATTTCAAGAGGTCCAAAACACTCCCCCCCAGCACTGGTCTCACCAAACCCGCTTTTGTGGTTCGTCAGGTTTTTTTTCTTTCTCTCTGTCGCTTCTTGTGGGACGTTACCACGCGAAACGAAACAAGTGGGTTAGAGCGTTGCTGGGGGCAACAGATGAGCTGGATGACGTATTTGGTGTATCGAATGAGAGAGTACGATAGTTACACTATCATTGGATCCAAATAGAAAGAGGATTAAAAGACATGAAATTTGGATGTAATGACCGTACATGGATGGACTGAGTGGTTGAAAACGTCCTATCAAAGAAGTATGCATTGATTCGAGCGAGTTGAAGCCAAAGTTAGTGTTGTGAAGTACAGATTTCGAACAAAGTGCGAGGAGAGAATAGGCGATGAAAAGTTTCATGAGCTTAAATCTCTCAGAATGTCTTTCTGTTCAATTAAGCCATTCCTAGCAACATACGACGACCGCAACGATTGACGCGAAAGTAAAATACTGACGCCGTTTCCAAGTATCAAATAGTGTCTCCTTATATAGTAGTGCTATATACCTTGTATACTACGTACACTTAAGGGTATATCTTAGACTATAGCCATCTTCTGGAAATCCCACTTTATCTTCTGCGCAAGATGGTCAAATTTAACAAGATCGAGTTCCGGTATATAGGCCGTCCCGACTATATTGTACTCAGGCCATTCACACTCTTTCCCTTTTTTACCCCTCTGTGCGTCTTTCAGCCTCCTCAAAATCAACGGACTCTGCGAACGCGCAACCATAACCACCAAATCCCCCTTTTTGACATCAATTGTCCCATGTACCTCGCGCTCTTCACTGTCTTCCCAAACGCTCATTGGTAGAAATTCCATCTCAAAAAGTGGGAGTTGTCTCTCACCTATTGGTCGCTTCTCATGTTCTAGCTCTTTGTTGCGCCGCCCATTGTTCTCTACTACTCTGATCGGCTTTCTGATTTCGCTAAGCACATGCCCATAAATCAGCAACCTATCATTCTCAGTATGAATGGCCCTCTTCTGCCTAGGTAACCTTGTACGCGATGCATCTCCTGGTGGTAACCTCCAATAGGAACTTTTCGCCTCTCCTAATCCAGGTAGGGGTGACGCGAAATTTGGCACCCATGACGGCCATTGTTCTTCATTCATCGGCTTCGCATGTGTGTTAACCATTCGGAGAACGTCCAAGCTATTATTCTGCGCCAATATGTATTTTGTCGTGTCAGTGCACAGCTTCTGGATCGATTGTCTGTAATCGATCTCTGGAAATCGTACAAGGCGATGCCCATTATAGCTAGTATTTTTCTCTGCTGTCAATCCTAATAGACTGTATATCTGATCCTCTGGCATTTTGGAACCTTTCCCCCTAAAGGTCGCTAAAAGCTTTGCAAGATCTAAGGCTCCAAGGTATTTGTATTCTATAATACTCACGATCAGCTGGTGGATTCGCCATGTAACCTCCGGCTCGATACGACATTCAGAGGGAAGCTCTCTCTGGATTTCAGGAGTTGCATAGAGTAGTTGAGCAAAGCGAAGGATATCGGTTATGTCGTAATCGCCTACAAATATTGATCGGTTGGAAGAGAGTACCAATTCCTGTATTATCCAAGATCTGGTGAAATAGGAATGATTAAGTATTTTTCTGATTGCTTTCCAACCGGAACTATGTTCAGGCCCAGTGTGCCAGTCAATCTTCTGTACGACAAAGTCCTTCTCGTCTTCCTTGAGATATTGTCGTGCTATTGTTTCCACATTCAAATTCGTTTCCGTTCCAGAGATGAATTCGCTAAGTATCCTATAATAAAGTCGCCATTCGACCGCAGTCCACGAAGTGGAATGCAAAATATCCCAGTCGCTCTCAAGCTTTGAATTCTTCCGCCCGCGCACTTGTTCAAACTCTGTAAGACAGTGAGATATAAGTGCCAACCCAGCAGGTATATCAACAGATTGATCGTCACTCCCGAGCCAGACGCGCACATTGGTGGCGTTTTTATAAATTTGATGCATAATTCTCAGCTGTTGCTCTTTTTCGGCATTGTCGTTTTGATCAATACAGATTGCGTCTATCCAGAATGGCGAGAAATTATCGCCACGTCGAATGGCAAGAAGCGCAGAATGGAGGTTAGATGTTATATCGAAGGGTTTGCCATTTAAGATCACTGGTCTGTGATAGATATTAGCCAAACTTGTCTTCTAAAAAAAACTCAATTGTCTTAGCACTTGCCAGACATTTTTCAATTTTGTTCTGATGCGAGGCTCGACGACTACTAACTCGAGATATATATTGTTGAGATCGCTTATGATGGAACTAAGTTGTAAGAGATCACATACATCTTATCTTTCTTTTCGTCTTCATCCCAGGTATATGACAACGCCTCATATCGGGGGACATACTTTGCAGGAATCCAATTCGTATGGTCGAGTGGGCGAAATCTAATACTGTTCATATGCAACTCAATCGGGTCTTCGGGTTTCCCAGGCTTGACAGAGATCAATCGAATATAACCTTGTGGCAGAACGTCGTGTTGATATGATAAAGGGTCGTCTAGGCTTTTCCTGAGGCGTGGTGGGCTTTTTGGATATGAAGAAAGAATTTCCCTTCCCACATCGAATACTGTAGAAATTGAAATAGGAAGAGATACATAGATGAAGAAACGTGCAGCGAGTCTTGTCCATGGCGACAGAGATTCACGCACTTTCCATATTGCGGAAGAGCCTACAAAATACCAAATAACAACAGGAACACAGAGTAGAGCCGTTCCGAGGCCAGCTTCCCGTTGTGGAAGAGATCTAAGCAGCTTCGGTACCTCATAGATACCTTTGTAAATCGAAGTACAAACGAACCCATAAATGAAAAGTTTTGCAGCGAATCTTATGAGTCGCCATCGAGATACGAATGATTTTTCTATTGTAAGGGCGACAATATCAAGTGGCGCAGTGATAATCTTAAGAGAGAATAGCTTTGCAGCGAGGCCCTTCCATCGTGGCGGAGATGGAGATGGAGATGGAGAAGCGTACTTGATGTTCGTTTGTCGAAAAGATCTATTGATAGACGTTCTGAAAAGGCGAGGAGCGATGAAACTATTGGCAGCCTGACTTCTGAAAGGTACTGGTCGACACCGTAGAAAGGAGGAGGCTAAAAACATATCGCCAGAATTTACTTCACTCAGACATTCTTTTCACGATGAGTTGGCGATGGGGATTTCTTGTTTATGAGATTGCGAACACCCCACGCGCTTGCAAGCACGCGGCTGAAAAGA